AACCTTTGGTTACATTCCTTCTCAGTAATACAGGGTATTAACCCCTGATTACATCCCCTTTCAGTAATATAGGGCGTCAACCCCTGGTTACATTTCATATCAGTAATACAGGGTACCAACCCCTAGTTACATTTCTTTTCAGTAATATAGGGTATCAACCCCTAGTTACATTCCTTCTCAATAATACAGGGTGTCAACCCCTGGTTACATTTCCTTTTAGTAATATAGGGTACGCCACTCCCTAGTTGATTTGAGCTTAAATGCAGGATACATCACTCCCTAATATCTTAGTTAATATAGGGTACACCATTCCTTAGTCGCATTTTTCCAATATAAGATACACCAATCCTTAGTTGAGACATTATTTTTACAAGAAGGATACACCATTCCCGATACTTTAGTGCTTTTAATAAAGAAGTAGTTTAGAATTTTGTTACAATAACTCACGAAATTTTTCTAGTAAAAATTGGGGCGGAAAAATTTCGCTTGTTTGTTTGTTTTGGTGTTTGAGCAGGTTTTACCTCGAGGCACAGGGTTCGAGATGACCAAAAGAAGAATTCTCAATGCAGAATAAAGAAAAGAAAAGGAAAAGAAGTGAATCCAAATGCAGAAGCAGATGGAAAGGATATGGACTGCTCAAGACATGACTGAAGTTACAAGCTTTACATTTCCCATTTTGATCAGAAGAAGCCGTAGAGGAATGAAATAGCACCTACATCGAGATAGCATCAAGGTTCAGATCAGAGTCTGCATGAAGAACCAGTCAAGACTTAAGATCAAGTTTTAGAAGACTTATAAATAAGAATCTTATAACTGATAGCTGATAGGCTTGTTTAGTTTCTTTTGATCTTGATGTAATAATAGGACCGCGGACCGGAGTCTCGACGGAACCTCACTCGACTCTCCAACTCATCATTCCATTATTCCATTATTCCTCCTTGAACTACACGCGACATGATTCCCTTATAACCCGAAATATGTAGGTTGTCCAAAATCAGGACTCGGTTGTACCCTTTTCTTTTATTTATTTTTCCTTTTTAAATAATGATTTGGTCAAAAATCACATGGCTCACCTTGTCTTTGCTTGAAAACTCTTTAGTTTTCCAAGCAAAGAGGGGCATGCTGTGAGCACCTAATTTTTGACTATGCGTATATTTTATTTTTCCTACTCATATCACCAATACATCATTTCTCACTTTTTCCACTCACACTCTCACTTTTTTCATGCAATTCCCCCACATAATCCCTTTAACAACATACACTGATAGTCACAAAAAAAGGAAGCTTCATCTCCACCCCAAATAAATACAACAAAAAGTCACAAAGGGGAGTAGGAAAGTCAAAAAGGGGAGGAGGAAAGAGGGGAATAACACGAAAAAATGGGAGTAAAAAGAGAAAGAAGGAGAGAATAAAAAGAGCATTGTTGCTCATTAAAAAAGAAAAAGAAAGAAATAGCAGCCCCTTTTTCTTCTTCTTAAAGCAGTGGAAGAAAAAAAGAAAACGGACGGCTCCTTCTCAAAAAAAAAGATGAGCGGCCTTAGCTTCTCAAAAACTAGCACCTAAAACCCACCCCAAAAATCATAGCAAAATCAGTAAAACAGCCGAAAAGAGTAGCAAAAATCAACTGCAAAACCAGCTACAAAACAACCACCAAACTTACCAAAAAATAACCATGAAATCAACAAAATAGCAGCTGAAACTTACCCCAAACACCACCAACAGGAGATTGCTATTGAGGTCGTCATCGAGGTTTCCGGTCAAAGGTACTTGTTTGTAGTTTTCAGCCTTCAAGATTGGTTGGTACGTTCTCTCTATAATTCAACGCTTGAAATTTTTTATTAATATAGTGAAGAAAGTTTTACTCCACTAAAGGTTCGCTACATCTTTCATTTTCTGTTTAAATAAATATTTTAAGCTCTTGTTTAGTTCTTCTGTGCGAATGATCTGTGTTTTCATGCCACGAGTTATTATATTATTTATGTAATTTCTTCATGCTTTAGATTAATGTTTTAGATTTCTTTTTGTCTGATTCAAGCCAACTGATTGATAAATTACTTAGATAAGATTTTTTATAAACTGTAGTAAGATTTAATCTTCTTAGAAAGATTGAATAATGAAGATTTTATAGCCGGCAAGTGGTTTGTTAGACAAGATCATTGAGCCATTGGGATTGTTGGATATGTTGTTAAAGGGTTGGTGTTGAGCTAACATTTGTCATGATAATAATTAGACTGTAGAAGCAGTTAGAACTAATTGGACCCGGTAGATTTCTTAAAAAGGGTACATTTGAACTTTAATTTCCTTTGAAATATTCATTGACCCATTAGCTTAATAACTAGAGTACATAACGTCTTCCACAATAATTATTTATCCATAATCAATGATCTTGCAATAATCTCAAAATTAGTTTAGAAAAAAATAATTCTTAATAATCGTTAGTATGCTTTAGGCGCGTATTAATTCGCTAGTATGCTTTAGGCGCGTATTAATAAATAAATTATCATGATTATATACACATTCGTGTGGCATAGTTATGATTTCCAAAATTAAAATTGAAGTATGCGTTCGCGCAACTTTGGGCAAAACAATCTTAGTATAATAAAATATTGTTAATTGTGTACACGTACGCGTGACATGATTTTGGCACAATAAACAAAACGGATTCACACACGTGATTTGTTTCAAGAATAATCTCATATTTTAATGATTAAAAGCAGATAGATAAAACATGGAAACCAATAAATCATAATTTATCCAAAATTAATTCAAGACAAGTTGTAGTCAATAAAGTGACCGTGCTAGAACCACGGGACTCGGAGAATGTCTTACCTTCTCTCCGGTCAACAGAATTCCTTACCCGCACTTTGTTTTCGCAGACCAATAATAAAAGAGTCAAATCTTCCTTTGAATATGAATTCAAATAAAAGATGACTTGGAACATCGACAAAAAATCAATTCCAAGTGGCGACTCTGTAAATAAAATAATCCCTACTCAAGTTTGTCACTTTAATTGAAAAAACTCTTTAAACCACAATCCATAATATGCATAACATATATTATCTTTTTGGGATAAAAAAGGGTGTGACACCTCTGACGACTCCGGTGGAGAAGACTATTAAGAATTTGAGCTTTGTATATTAATTCTTGTTTGGCTTTTATCGTGTTTTGGATATTATTGTGTTCGGATAAAAAACATGGAGCTTGACGAGTACACAGTTCACATTAATTTAGCATGCTTCTTTAATTTGAAAAACGAAATTATGAGAAAAGTCACAAAACGTTATAGAAAATTGTAGATCTAGTTTTGTTCAACAACCAATCCTTCTCCTTCACGCCCCTTGAACGACAACCACTCATCAACTCCAATCTAAATCCTTAATTGGTTTTTTCTCTTTCCCTTTCTTTTTGTTTCTTTCTTGCATTAAAATATATTGAAAATTCTGAGAACAAATATATTGACATGATGACAAATTGACACTAAACTGTTCTTATTCCAACTTGGCGCAGCTGTCCATTGTCCAAGGTGGTAAAACTTTGTGCTGAATAATTTAATGAATTATATAAAGCAACCAAAACATGTAAAGATGAAAATTATGTGGCTGCCCAGGCTCTAATGCTTGAAAAGTCTCCTTGTTCTTACACGTCTAGGATTTAAATAGTTTGTGAAGTTAACAAAGCAAATTATAAAAGACAATAAAATAAAAATATCAAACAAGTATACAATTTAACGTGATTTAGTTAGCCAACCTACATCCACGTGTAGATGAACAATCCGTTCTTCCAAAAAGAATACTAAAAGGAGTATAACAATATTACAATATCGAGTGAATAAACTCACATTCACTGCTGAGGATATCCACACATGTGATAGATAGACTTGTCTTACAAATACTCTCCTTAAATTGAACTTTCTAATTTTAGGTTTCTAGATAAGACAAGCAAATTTGGGAAAAGAAAGAAGTAAAAGTCTCCTAAAAGAATTCAAAACTCAGGAATCTTCTTTTTTAGATGTTAGACTACAATTGAAAAGTTCGAGAAAATTTTTAATATTCGTGAAAATGAAACTAAAATACGAAAATATTATTTCTTATAATTTCCACATTAAAAGGTCGAGTATATGATGCTCTAATTCTTCCTCTTTTCTTTTTGTCCTTTATCATTTTACTGGCTTGTCCAGTCGTTAAGAAGTTTCGGATGCTAAACGCCTTTATTCTCATGCTTTTGGAAAGGCAAATTAGCTCAAAAACGTTTAATATATAATAATCCAAAATTTTAAACATGTAAAATACATTTTAATTTATTTATGCCCGACTGAGGTTACATTTCTCAGGTTTATAATCATTTCGACGTCAATTGGATAGCTTTGGTCAAACTTATTTTTATCTTTGAAAAGCTCATCCTATTTTTCCCAAGACATTGATTATCACATGATTAATGGTCTTAAGAATATCCAACAAAGAAGTATTAACATTTTCGGATCTAGATTCCTTCCCTTTTTTAATATTTAAGTATATATCACATGGTATACTCAAACCACTTTGCATGGTGCTTATTTAGATAGTAAGTACTCTAGTAATAGCTTTTCGATTATTTTTTTAAAATAATACAACACTTAAAGCAATGAAAGAAATTTGAGGGGAAAAAAAGAAGATTCTTAAGATGACAACTACCTATCAAATTATTTCTCCGGAAAGATATCTAGACTACTTATTTAGAAACGTTACGAAAAGCTGTCTAAACTCCGGCCTCCACAGTTTTATCTAAGGAAAAAGGATTTATTTATTTTTGTTCAAGTTACATAAACTAATAATGTCAAATAATTTTATTGTCCGTCTAATTTAGCCGACTATAACAGGTTATTATTCTTTGTTTAGGTTATAAGTTTAGACTTGTTATGAATAGATACCTATTGTAGATAAAGGTGTAAAAATTTATATACTTCTGTACACAACTTTAAATTCAAGAAAAAACTGGTGATCTAACTTGAAATGGAGTTCACAATTCAAATCCATTTTCTAGCATGGGGTAAAACCTCATCTCAAGAATCTAGAGCTGAAATAAAGAATATTACTACAAAAGGATATAGTTTAATGATATGGGTGGAAATTTATAACAGAATAATTAGTGTGGATTCATTTTTTACTGTCCTAGCTCCTTTCCATTCTCAATTCTCCTACTACATAATAAGAAAAAAGGGCAGCTACGAGTTCAACCGCTGAAAACAAGAGAAGTACGATTTGGTAAAAATGGAAATATACAGTATAAAGCTAAGCTTTTCTTCTTGTTTTCCCAAAATATAATATTCATGGTTAAGACGTGGGGAGGAGCCAACAGCAATGGACATTTCCTTATTCATTATTTAAATATTTTCTTTGACCCTTGACGTCTACAGTCTGCAAATAATCTATAAATATGGAGAATTCTTATTGCACTTTCCACTTTCCACTTTCTCCCTTTCTAAGTACAATTTTCCATAATTAACCTTTCCTTCACAAATTTCCCGACACCCATAAAATACACACACATACTGTGCATGTTCTGAAATCCTATATCAGTGATGCCCAAGTGTTTTAGCTTAACGGCTACAAAGAACAGATGCCTCAAATCCAGTTTCAGCAGTCGTGGTCTCCGATCTACTGTTACTGACCTCAAAGATGGCACAATCATGCACTGTTGGGTACCCAAAACAAGAAAATCAACCCGACCCGACTTGGTCCTGATCCATGGGTTCGGAGCCACCTCCATGTGGCAATGGAGCGAAACGGTACGAATCCTCTCACGGCACTTTAACGTCTACGTCCCCGACTTAGTATTCTTCGGAGACTCCTACACGACCCGACCCGACCGGTCCGAGTCATTTCAAGCTGAGTGCGTGAAGCGCGTGATGGAGGCGAACTCGGTGGTGAAGATGAGCGTTGTTGGGCTGAGCTACGGTGGTTTCGTGGCGTATAATATGGCGGCGCAGTTTAAGGATTGTGTGGAGAAAGTGGTGATTTGCTGTGCCGGAGTTTGTTTGGAGGAGAAGGATTTACAAGAAGGGTTGTTTGCGGTAAACAGTGTGGAGGACGCGGCCAACATTCTGCTGCCGCAGACGGCGGAGCAAATGAGAGAGTTGATGGGTTACACGTTCGTTAAAGCTCCGGCGAAAGTTTTGCCTTCTTGCTTGCTTACTGACTTCATTGATGTAAGTGTCTTATTTTTCAATTATTTCTTCTTACATCTTTGTCTCATGATTAGGCACCTTAATTTTCAGACGCGTTTACTTTTACATATCGACTTAGTAAAAAAACAATTACACTTATTAGTTAATTAATCTGAAAATAAAATTGACAATATGCTATAACAAGTTAAATCACAGTAAATATAAAATTTTATTTTGCAATGATTATATGGAGCATAAGTTAATTTTTTTTATCAGAAAACAGTCAACTATTTTATCATTTTACTTTTAGTTTGATGAATTAACTAATTAATTTTAAAAATGATGTGGTGTAACACTGCCACTTGATCAAGGATTTTTAGCTGAAACTCAGGTGGACTCAGTATAAATAAACTTTCTATTCTACTTATTTAACACTGTTACCATGGGGAAAAAAGAGATTTTTCTTTTAAGTATTGCTTTCCAATTTAATGTGTGGTTAAAATATTTTAAATTATTAATTATAGTGACGTCTAATATTTTTTATAGTTTTTAAATACATCAATTTTATTTTAAAAACATATAGAATTCTTGTATTCCAATCAATGCTAGTACAAAAGATTAAAGAGAGGGAGATAATTTTTATTTAATTCAACTATATACAGTTGAAGCAAAGACATTGAATGCGTTCTCACGGGCAGTTGAAGATGCAGGTCTACCAATTTAATGTTTCGGTATTTTTTTGATCTTTCAAAATAAAAGAATTTTAAATTTATAATAGACGACAACTTAGAATAAGAAACAAGGAAAAGATTTAGTATGCGTTTGGACCTGAATTAAAAAAAAAAAAAAATCAAATTTGAAATTTCACTAAAATTTGAATTGAAGATGAACTTCTCTCCAAGCAACCTTCCCATTTTCATTAGTTTTTCAAATTTGAAAATGCATTTTCAAGTGAGATTGGAAAAACTGTAAGATTTTGATAACCAAATATTATTTTCAAAAAAAAAATTGAAAAAAAGAAAAATTTTCTTATGTCCAAACGGCTCATATAACTCTTTAAAATTTGAATAGAAAAAAATAAACCTCTTTAGAGTGTGTTTTATTTTCAGATATTTACATGTCTAAAACAAACTAAAAAGAAATTATAATACCTCACAGAATCAATTGTTGTTCCACGTTCGGAATTTGCAACATGAATAAAAACACATGTTATGCTAGCGTGGAATAAAAGTATCGAATAAATAACTTCTTTTCCTTAAGATAAACCACATAAGGATCTTAATCACTTTTAATATTTGTAAAATCTCAAAATATCAATTCTTAAATGACAAACTACTCCGGCCCCATTTGAAAATTAATTAGTTGAACGTGAAAGAAATTGAATATGACAGACGATTTAGGATCGTACCTATTATAATTTATTTAATATAAAACTCCAAACGAGTGGTTTAATGGTTGGTTTGGATTGAATTTAGTGGTAGATAAAGGAAAAAGCCCTAGATTCTTCTTGCATTTACCTCGACCAAAATAAAGTGAATCAACCACTTGTACAAAATGCCAAATCTCCACTTAATTATTATCTTTAATCCACTTGACAAGGGTTGCTCTGGTGGTGAGCACCCTCCACTTTCAACTAAAAGGTTGTAAGTTCGAGTCACCCCAAGAGCAAGGTGGGGAGTTCTTTGAGGGAGGAAGTCGAGGGTCTATCGGAAACAGCCTTTCTACCCCAGGGTAGGGGTAAGGTCTGTGTACATACTACCCTCCCCAGACCCCACTAGTGGAATTATACTGGGTTGTTGTTATTAGATCCGATGGTAGAAAATAAACTACTCTGTACGCGTTTACATTAATTCAATAAATACTACACATATTTTATACACTCTTATTACTAGGTTATAGTAGTTAATTGATATATATTTTTATCTTAATTTATGACTTAATCATGATATATTAATATAATTTAGTGTAACATTATATGCGAATAAATTTTTATCGAATCCTAGCTTACCATTGCTTGAAAATTTTAAAAAAAAAGACTACCATTGCCAAATTGCTATGCAGCGCTTGGCCGACTCGATGCCCCCAATGGCCAGTGCAACGTTTCATGTGTTGCTTACCTAAACCAATTTTGATTAGATCATTGCTTGAATCCATTTATATTTACAAAAATAAAACTAAATAAATGGACATGATCTTCTTTGTCATAAGGAATGTCTTACTTTATGAGACACGGAAATCAAATGAGGTCAAGACTTTGACATCCTCTATATGTGTAAAAAGGAATGAGAAATAACCTCTATAACCTCGAAAATGAAATTAATGTAGGTTAGTTATATAATACTAACAATTCATAAATTTCATACAAATAATGTGTTCTTCGATCCATATTATTTATCTTTTAAAGTTTATGTGAGATCCATAAAAAGATACTTAATATCCTTAATCATATAGTATTTGTATAAATAACATGATATCTCTCCGTTAATTACCTCTGTTAATTAAAATTCTACTAATTGAAACAATAAGGGTTAACTTTGAAAAGAAGTAATGAAAACTTTAAATTTATCAAAACAAATTCAATTTGGCAAAAAAGGCTAATATTTGTGACAAGAGGGAGTAGTACAACATTCCCTCCCCTAACACGTACTCCCCCCGTTCCAATTTATATAAACTTGTTTGACTGGACACGGAGTTTAAGAAAAAATGAAGACTTTTGAAATTTGTGGTCCTAAACAAGTCAAAAGGGGGTCCAGAATATTTGTGTTGTTAGAAAAGCTTCTCATTAAGGGTAGAATTGGAAGTTTAAAGTAAATTGTTTCCAAATTTAGAAAGGGGTCATTCTTTTTGGAACGGACGAAAAAGTAAATAGGTTCACATAAACTGGAACGGAAGCAGGGGCGGCCCAACCTCATCGGAGGCCTAAAGCAAAATCTTAATAAGAGGCCTTAATATATATATATATATANAAACTTTTATGATTTATTTAAGATTACAAGTTTCAAAAGCCTTCCTTTATTTCATAAAATCCATATCCAGTCAAATACTTTCATACAAATTGGGACGGAGAGAGTATAATTTATGTTAGGAAAATAAATAATAAGTTAGATTATTAGATATAGTTACGTGACCAACTAATGAATAGAGAAATATAATTAAGTAAAAAAAATAAAATAAGATTGACAGAAAACTATTTTAGTTATATTAATTAGAGGAAGAAATCGAGTTATTAAAAATTAATATGGTAATAAAGAAATAAATTTATCAATAATAAAAGATAATTATATAAATAATATACTACTATATATAAAACAATATTAGTAATTTTGGGGCCTTTAAATATTTGGGGCACTTGCTTTAGGGTTGGGCCGCCCCTGAACGGAAGGAGTATACAAAAACCAAAATTTGGAAAGCACTTTTCTTCGTTTCTTCTTCTGCCTCATCTTGTAGAGAAATGGTGAATGATAATTTTGGTGTCATGAGCAGGAAATGTTTACAGATTATGTAAAGGAGAAGAAAGAACTGCTTCTTGCAATTGCGAAAGACAGGAAGCTTTCCGATCTACCTAAGATAACTCAGGTATTTCCCTTTTATTTGTCTTCAATAATGGTCTCAGAACCCCTAATACATTAATTAACATTGCTATATTTTTTCCAGCCGACGTTAATAGTGTGGGGGGATCAAGACAAAATATTTCCTTTAGAACTAGGTCACAGATTGAAAAGGTTCATTTCCCCTACTGGGTCTGGGTTAGTTGAAATTTATTTACATAATCGTTTATCGACATATTATATTATAATATGTTTCGTTGGGGTTGTGACTGAGATGTAAAAATTATTGGTGGCAGGAATTTAGGTGAGAATGCTGAGCTGGTGGTGATCAAGAATGCAGGTCATGCTTTCCTTTATGAGAAACCCAGAAAATTTCATAAGCCTTTGAAATCCTTTCTCTTGGGTTCCACAAAAATTCCTTCTCAACACCAAACATGATTCACTGCTGCCTGTAATTTGGGGAAATTTTTCTATTACTGGTGAAAAGCCATAATGTATTATCTCAATTTTTGGTATGTAATTCTTGTAGCTCTCATTGAGAGCCACCATCCTATGAAAATTTTTAACTTTTGATATTCACGGTGTAAAAAACCATCCATAAAAAAGTTGACTTAATAATTTAAAATATAAGAATAAAAAAGGTTTTCAAGCACTCTGGTAATGTTTATGTAGATACAAGCCAATAGGCATGAATCCCTGAAACATTAAATGAAAAACAGACTTTCCACAAGGAGCCAGCTTCACAAAGATTTCTCTCCTTTAAAACTTCAGCTAGTTCTGCAAAGACATACCAAAAAAAGGGTGTATTAATGTGACATGGCAGGCTTCAACTGTACACACTACCTTAATCGTATGTGGAATATTTTAGCATAGCATAGAAAAAATTGTAAAATACTTTCATAAAGATCACATTGTTAAAGACACTCTGAATCTACATATTTCCAGAATCCAGACTAATGAATTGGTCAGTTGGTTCTGTCTTATGCTTCATGCCTGAAAGCCTATGCAAAATTACAGCCAGAAGGTACACAATTGTACAGCACAATTAAGAAGCCACGCTTCAGCATTTTGACCTCGGAACCTCACTCACCTGAGAATTCTACTACTTAGAGTTACGCCCATGACCCATAAGTTAGCACACAACTAGTAATCATCTCCACATGGAAAAGCTTAAGAGAGATATTAAGTTAACTGTTAGAAATCATACCTCCCCTTGACGCTCATCACCCTTAGAATGTTCACCTGTCAAAATAATCACAGGTCAACATCTTTTTCATATCAGGTAAATCTTTTACATCTTTATGTTTAATTTGTTCTGGAAAAGGATGAGTCAGTAAATCGTATTTGTTGCAAAAGAAGCACTCATTTTGTTTATTCCGCCATCATATATCCCTTTAAGTCGAATCAATATATTGCATTCTAGAAATTAATAGGTAGCATAAGAGATGATAGTTTTAACTGCCAAGGCGACAGGTTCTCCCCTATTTTCCAAATGCAACAAGCATTTAAATCTAGAGCATAATCATCATCGAACCATAATGAAGGGAATTAACTTAGAAACAAATGAAGCATCGCATTAGACATACCTCCCTCTTCAAGGTCTGAGGTCCACAAAGTGAGATTATCCCTTAGGAGCTGCATGATAAGGGTACTGTCCTTGTAGGATTCTTCACTAAGGCTATCAAGCTCGGCAATAGCTTCGTCAAATGCTTGCTTGGCCAAGTGACATGCCCTGGTATGAGGTGGATATTTTTAGAAGATAAAAGAGGGAAATGAAACAAGATGTGAGAAGCATACACAATGAAATCAAATTACTAGTTAAATCGCCTTACTGAGGTAGATTTACACTATACTTTTATTCGAAAAGGCTACAGCTCAATATCATCAAAAAGGTTACTGATTCACAATGTCAAAAATTAATGAGAAAACCATTTTCAAAAACTTGCCAGTTACTATCTCCAAGCTAGCTTCATTATGAGACGAGGAATGAGGAGCAAGGGGATATAAATGAAGGCGGAACAGTAAGTTAACAGCTTCTCTCTGTTCATAACATCTATAGCTTTTCTGTTCAGAAGGTTGTCTAACCTCTCAGGTGAATTTAGAATCTCATAGTAGAAGACTGAGAAGTTCAATGCAAGTCCAAGTCTAATTGGGTGAGTAGGAGCAAGATCTGCGCTAGCTGTGGCAGTAGCAGCCTACAAAAATAGAACAATAAGCTTAATTAAGAACAAGACAAACAACCAAATAAAATATAAAAATTATTTGCAATCACAACAAGGAAACAAATGCTGCAGATAGACATAGAAGAAGATTGAGTCAAATCTGATAGCATGGAACAAAAGAAACCTCATAAGCTTTAAGTGACTGATCAGCTGCCTCTTTACGATCATCCCCTGATTTGAACTCTGCTAAATAGCGATAGTAGTCTCCCTTCCTAGAGGTGAAGTAAAAGGATTTAAACTTGTAAGTTCAGCAATCAATTTTTCGGGGATAAAAGCGAAAGAAAGACAATTAACTTAAATAAATTAAAAAGTGGTCACATGGAAGCAAATATGTATTCAACTCCATCACAAACATCAACGAGCCACGCAAAGACAAAAGAAAAGACAATAAAAGGGGAAGGAAATATAAGAAAAGAAAGCAAGTGAAAAAATCAGCAACTCACATCTTATAGTAGAAGACAGTAGATTCTCCTGTCCTGCCAATCAAAAGAAAAGAAAGCAAGTGAAAAAATCAGCAACTCACATCTTATAGTAGAAGACAGTAGATTCTCCAGTAGTGGACGAAGGAACAACGTGCTCATCTATCACGGACAAAATGTCAATGCATATTTTTGTAAGCTCATCTTCAACCCTCTGTTGGTAAGTCTTTATTCTCTTAACATTCTGGTCATGACCCTTACTCTCCTCCTTTTGTTCAATTGAAGACAATATCCGCCATGAAGCCCTTCTTGCTCCAATAACATTCTTATACCCAACTGACACCAAATTCCTCTCCTCAACAGTCAGTTCGACATCCATCTTAGCAACCGTCTTCATTGCTTCTACCATTTCTGGTACAAAAGGCAGAGTGCACAGAAGCATGAATATCAGAATTTTGAAGAAATCAAATAGTAAATAACAGATGGCATGAGATTAGCATGAAAAGCTTCAAGTCTGCTCTCTTTCGCACTCTTGGCCTCTAAGGATAATAGCACTTTCTCCCCACCTCGTTCTCCTCTATAAGAAAGATTTTGTAAGATAGACTTAGACCAACATGATCAAGCCAAAACTCTACCTTTAATGCTCAAATGACTCTACATTCCCTCTGGCCTCGGCACTATATGTTATCCTAGACCATAATCAGAAAGGCTTTCACATTTCAACATTGACATCAGGTACCTTAAAACTTTGATTTCTGTTACGTTGCCGTATATCCTTCACAAGATGTGGTGAAAGTGTAATGCAAGTACTTAGCTTTTTTTTTCTTGGGTCGAAATATGGATTCAAAAGGCTTTGATGGTACAGTCCACCTATAGCTACACACAAAACATACCTTACTATGTATAAAATTAAAAAAACTAGAAAACAAATTAAATAGACAAACTTCATTCCCAGATTCATTTTAGTTGACATCTGCACTCATAGATTTTACATTTTAGTATTCATCTCAAATAAAAGCCAAATCTTTCACCAATAGTTTTCATGTTCGCCATACCTAGGTAAAAGCTCTCTTAATTAATCTTAAGAAGTAACCAGTACGCTCAGAGACAACAATTCTGGTAGAAATTTAAACCTTCTTAATTCAGTCTTCATGAAGTATAAAACCCCATCTATAATAGAACGTCAAGAACTATTTAAGGCCATTTCCAGTCTAATTTGTTAAAGAAAATGATAAATTTTAAAAAAAAAAATAGGAATTAAAAAGAAAAGATACTCGATTATACATTACAAATTAAAGGGCAGAAATCAGCACCACAATCAACAACCTCGTGTTAAAAGCGCGTAAAGAGTGAGAAGAAAGCAAATTGAACAAAAAAGTTCACAACTTTAGGAAAAGTCAAAAGTACAAAATCCAGAGACATAAAAAACCAGTATTTCTCTCAAGATTTTGCAAGTAAAGATTAATGAAACCCTCCTCAGACGCACAAAAATGAGAGAAGTGAAGCAAATGAACAAAAAAATTGACAACTTTAAGAAACTCAAAAGACAAAAAACTAGAGAACACCCAGTATTTCTCTCAAGATTTTGCAACCAAAAAGATTTCAATTTTCACCCTCAAACATCAAATCAAAAGCAGAGAACTGACACTAAACATCTACTCACATACGCAAACAAACACACAACTACATCAGTACATCAGTATTAAAAAAATCAAACAAATTAAAGTAATTAAAATGAATACCATCATATCTCTCAGCTTGTTCAGCCAGCCTAGCCAAGTAAACCTGTTTCTCTCTTTCCTTGTCCATTTCTCCGCTCTCTCTCTATTTGGGTATTTTCTTTGAATTATATGATTCTATATATGAAACTTTTACCTTTCTTATACTCTTTTTCCTTTTTCTTTTTCTTTTTCTTTTTCTTTTTAGTTTTGTTTAGCAAGAAAATGATTAAAGTAAAGCTCCTATTTTTTATTTTTTATTTTTTATTTTTTATTTTTTATTTTCATATATGCGGCATTTGGTAACTGCTTTCAAGGGGGATGTACTGATACTGGTTTATAGAGGGAACAATGGGCTGTTAAATCTGCCTTGGATTCCGCCCATCGCCGGCGGTGAAATCTGGACCGTGGATTTCGAGGTTAGAGAAAATGTCAGCCGTTGGATGCAGCCTGCAGAGGATAACGCTTAACAGGAAGCTGTCGGTCACATGGGTGTCGAATTGACTAAGATTTTACAGTAACTGCTTTCAACATTGTCGGACATTATAATACTCTCCTTTATATTTTCTTCTTTCTCCGTGCCAAAAATTTTATTTGGAAACAATTTATTTTTATTATAATCACACAAAATATATATATCTCATTTTACCACATAAGTTTATAAAAACAAAAAAAAATCTTAAATTTCATACCCAATCAAATAAATCACATAAATTGATACGGAAGGAGTATAATTTTGAGGCAATTTTTTTTAAGAACTTTCTCCATAAAAAAACAAATTATGTTATATAAATTAAAAAACTTTATATTATTAAAACGATTTAACTTGTTATAATAACTTACTTGCTACTATTTATTAACAATTACTCCCTCCGTTTCAATTTAAATGATATAGTTTGATTCGGCACAGAGTTTAAGAAGAAAAAAAGACTTTTGAAACTTGTGGTCTTAAAAGCTTAAGCGGTAAAAATTTTGTGGGGTCATGACATTTGTGTGGTTATAAAAGTTTTTCATTAAGGATAAAATGGATAAAATAAAGAGTTTAAAGTTAAATTATTTTCAATTGTAGAAATATTTTTTTTTTTTGAACAAATTAATAGCCTATTTGGTCAAGTTTCTCTAATCTTAGAAGCACTATTTTTTTCAAAAAAAGTATATATTTTTCAAAGTTAATTGTGTTTGGCAAGCTTTTGGAAGAAAAAAAAAACGCTTTTGA